ATATATATATATTATATATAATATAATCTATAATATAGATGTAATTAGGAACGGTTTGGGGATGCCACTTCGAGAGCGCAGATGCCACAATGAGGTTTCCCCAAACGCTCCAGTAGGCCCATGGAAATTTATCCCTTTGCAGCTTTCAGTGTCATTGAATTTGCCATCCTGAATCTTGTAAAAAGATCTAAAAGTCACAGATTGAGGTTGAGAGCTGTTCGGGTCATTGGATCATCGGACTTTATAAAGGCTGTACGGTTTCGGATTGTGAGAGGCCACCACAGGGTGTCCTCTGGTGTCCTTGCGAAATGAAAATTTCATCTGCAGCTACCTCGGGCAGCAGTTCTGGCTTCAAAAATGCTTCCCTCACTGCAACGAGCTTCTGAAGTTCATGTCAGACCACAAGGTGCTCCTCAGCGTTGATGACACAAACAAATAAAGTATGCTTCCTTCTACTCAGATCAGCCAAGGTATCCAAAGGTTGGAATCAAGGGTTTTTCGTACTCGTTCTAAGACAAAGAAGATGGTCACACATCCTTCTACAAGGTCGATCGATGTCCCTTTAACACAAAGCAAACGATTGCCCATGATATTGGCTGGCGCACTGATGAGCTTGGTCCTGTGTACGGACGTTTTTCTTGTGGAATCTTTAATAATCCCTAGTAATCGATGGCTGTCAATGCCCTCCTGTCGGGGTGGGTTAGGGGTGGTGCTCCGTACTTTTCTGTTTCGGCGCTGCCCGGGGCAAACGCGAAATGCCCAAAAGTCGAAAAGTAGCAGTGGATTCTCAGGGGCAGAGCCCGAGAGCCCGAAAAGTAGAAAAGTCGAAAAGCGAAAAATCTGGCCACTTTCCTCGAAAAGTCGAAAAGTAGCCACTTTTCAAGACGAAAAGTCAAAAAATGAACATAATGAACCTGTTCTTGATTTTGAGACTATTCTCGATCATTGTCATGGGATTCTGGGGTGGTGCATCTCTAAACCAATTCAAGGGAACTAATCCTACGGCAAGACCCTATGGTTTGCCCGGAACTGGAAACGATGATGATGATGATGATGATCAGTATTATTATTGTTATTCTGGTGGTTATTATTATGATGATGATGATTATTATTTATTATTGCGGTATGGTTACTTGTTCCATGGGGTTGGGATATTTTACATCATATGGATGTAAACCCTAAATCGAACCCTAATTGCAGTATGCTTCATTCTTCCATGGGGGTGGGAGATATGATGTCATGTGCACCCCAAATGAACCCTAATAGCGGTACCGGTACAGTTTGGTCAACACATGTTCATCTGGTAAGAATTCATTGGTGTTTACATTATTCTGTTCGTGGGGCAAGCCACGGGGTCTGTGCGTAATCCTAGATGAGAAATAAAGGAAAACTAGAACGTACAAAGTTCAAACTCGGCCGCTAGGTAATTAAACAGTCCACGAATGCGAAAAACTTCCAAATCCAAAAGTCGAAAAACGACCCCGTGCGCGAAAAGTCGAAAAACACAAAAAGTAGAAAAGTCGAAATGGAAAAATCGAAAGCGGCCGCGTGCGCAAAAAGTTGAAAAACGCGAAAAGTAGAAAGTCGAGAAGGATAGTTGTTTTACGTGTTTTTGTTCTTTTTGCTTTTTCTCACTTTTCTCGTGTTTCTATGTTCTACTTTTTTTTACTTTTCTCACTTTTCTCATGTTTCTATCTTTTTGCGAAAAACGAAAGGAAAAAAACGCGAAAAGTAGACAAGCAAAAGTTTTTCTACTTTTGGACTTTTCTCGTTTTTCTCGTTGTTCATTTTTTTTCTCGACCAAAAATGTGCACGGACAAGAAGATGCCAAACGTCACCTCTAGCTGACTTAGTGATCTCGGATGTGCAAGTATTTGGACCCACAAACAAATGGATCAGTACGTAGATGGATCCAAGGGTGTATCCAGAAATGCCAACATGATCCTATAAATATGTGTGTTTGTTCCTGCAGATGGGCTGAAAGTAATTAGGTGGCTGGGAAGGTGCATGGATCGTATTGCTTGTAGCATTGCGTTCACCAATCCCTATTGAAGGGCCGACAGTATATGCACACTTTGAAAAGCAGTCTGCCAAACAACGACATAGAGCCTCACAGCGAAATTTCTCTGCGCCGTTCAGCCGATGCGGCACATGTCTTCCTGCGAAGCACAACAGAGTGCTCAAGATGCTCAAGCCAAAGTCAAAGCCTTGTGGACAATGCAACAGGTCAAAGATTTCACATGGCTAGTCAATATCAGTCACGAATTGTGCGGAAACTTGGAGAACTATGACATCTATGACTATAAGATTACTACAAGATACTACAAGGATCTATAGTCGGATCTTAGTCAGCTCGCTCCTCAGTCGAGGCGATGACCACAGCTCGTGCAGAAAAGAGCTGATGACCTGGCACTTCGACTTCGGACCCCAGGTGGATCAGGTGGAGCATCCAGGCCCTGTGGATTCTGTGGCTACGAGCGAAGCTCTTTCAACGACAAAGAAACGGCATCGCAAAGGAACATCACCCCGGGATAACTTATCAAGTTATCAAGCGCTTAAAATTGCTGACCGGCACCTAAGAACAAAATGCTTCTCGTATTCTGTTCTGAGGCGCATTGATCTGGATGCATCCTCTATTTTCATTTTTTTCCTCGTCCATGTGTTTATCTTCAACAAAATCTAAACTCTAAACTTTCAAAACATTTCAACACCGTCCAAAGAAAGGCCAAGGCACTGTTGGACGCGCACTCCGCAGGCGGTACAAAACTGCCGCACGCGCAGTGCCTGCTGAATTTCTGTAAAGCTTGCAGTCATTAAAAGTCTGACAGCTTGACGTACAGCTTTACGGTCTAATGCCGTTGAGGTGCATTGGGACCATTCTTCAACGTGTGGGAGCGTGCACTGGTGAGCTTAGGATCCTCCCATTTCAATCAACAATCCCACTGGCAACACTAGCAATGAACTGAACCTGGACAACGTGGGCTAACAAAGCCATGAAACATCGCGACAAACACAGGTCCTGGCCAGTGCTGACGTGATTGTAGCCATGCCTTGATTTCGGTTGCGCGAGATTTGAGTGTAAAGGCACGTGGTGACACCTCTGTCGTCAGACCCTGTCGCATCTGTCGCTCTCAACGACTGAGAACCGGGCCAACACGGCAGTGGCGACACTCCATCAGCAAAAGGTGTACTGTGAGTCACCTCAGTGTTGTGTTCTTCATTTCAGACACTTCTAAAACATGAGGCAAAGACTTCAACGCAAGCAAAAGTTTCAGGGCATTTGAAAATGAGGCAAGCGACCGGCATCGAAGTCCAAACACCTTCTGGAACGACACTAGGCCTGGATGCCCACAAAAAGAGACAACACACTGGCTGTCAGCAGTTGGCATCTGAGTATCTGAGTATATACATTGAAAGTCCAAGACTGGTTGAATTCACTTGGCTGCAGCCAAGAGTCTGCATGGCTTGCAATGTTGGCATAGGTTGCATCAGTTGTGCCTGTTGGGCCTGTTGGGTGTACCTTGGATCAAATACCAAATCTTCGAATCATGCCTTTACTAGCCTTTACTGTCTTGGATGAAGATGGTCAAGAGTTGATGACTGAAAGCAAGTTGATTTTGCCATATTTTGCCTATCTGGGGAAGGGGCAGCTCGCTTTGTAATGCGCTGACCTGATGATGCAACTCCTTCCACGCCAAAAGGAATATGTGGATCACAAGCACTTAAGAGATTTACACTAACAAGGGCTGCTAAAAGATTAAAATGCACATCGCCAAGGTGTCAAAGAATCTGGTAGTGGCTGAACTTAGCCGACTCTGGGTGTCCACAAAGCTAACCTTGCTCATCCTAGTTCATCCTAGTTCATCCTAGTTCATCCTAGCTCCTGGACGAGGTCAAATAATCCTTCTGGCGAAGACATGGGCTCTGCCTGGCCAGTGGTACTGTGTGATTCAAGAACTCACGTACGAGTTCATGCCTCCTCTCCGGTAACACACATGCTAGATGTTACTATTTCACATACAGTGCATCACTGGGCAACGAATGCTTCTGTACAAGTCAAACAGCCATTGCCGTCACTAAGAGCCTTTGAAGGAATGTTCACATCTGCACCTCTCTCAATCTCCAGACCTGGCACGTCCGGAAGCCTCTGACAAGCTTATGATACGATCTGATACGAGCATAACAACCGCTACTCATCTTGATGCCTTCATCCTTCTAGATCCTTGCACTCTACCACAGTTCAATGACATTTCGCCTTCATACTCCAATAATATCTGGAAATGGCTGCCGTTCTCTGCTTCAAGACTGGCAACTGCACTGCAAGCTGATGCAAGACAATATGCCTGGTGGAGGGGGAATTGAAGGAGTACTTAGCATTCCAGCTCTCATGGGTTCCATGGCCTACAGCAAAGCAACGTCAGGCTCAGCTGAAGCCAAGCGATAGCCAAGTGACAGCCAAGTCTGTGCTCGATTTCTCCACAGGATATCCACAGTGAAAGAACAAGCAGCAGTTGAGCCGCTGGCGCTAGGCATTTTCTGGTTTTGGGCGCTTGCAGGAATGATATGACGCAGGCTGTCTGAATCTGAGCTGCCTGGGCCTGGGTTGCTAGAGGGCACCAAAGAGAATTGAAGATTCAATCATAATTCATCCTAATTCATCCCAATTCATCCTAATTCCATGTCAGCTGATATACAGTGGTTGATAAACTTGCGGCTCGCAAGAGAGTCGGAGCTGAAAGCAAACTGAGAAAGCAATTCCGGATAATTCCGGTTTGGGTTCGGTAAGCAGGCCGTTGGGCACAATCAGAGTGAGCCATGGGCCACAAACTCGCTTTAGGACTTTAGGAACTGCTAAGTGTCGGGCTCAAAGCCTCACGAAGACTTTCCTGTAGTGTGAAAGACGCTCAGAGACTTCGACGTGAATTTCAGATATCACAATCACAGTGGCACTGCACAACCATATCGTCCTGAAAGCCGTCAGAACCATCGGAAGCTGCAGTTGAGGCATTGGAGACCTACAAAAAGGAAGAAAAATAAAAATAAAATGATATCCTTTGACCAGCCTTCACCTTGCAAGCCCTATGGATCACTGGCTATGCAAAAAATTTGACATGAACTATGCCAAAGGTTTCACAGAATGGCAATCAGCTGATCAAATTTTTGGTCCGTGAGGTCATGTCTTTTTGAAAGTTGAAAACATGTCATGTTGAAACAAAATTCTCCGTTCTAATGTCAAAAAATCTGTAACACACTAGGAACATCACACGTTTTGCAGGACATGAAGCTAAACTGTACATGCGAAAGAAAAAGATAAGTACATTGCCATGTCACTATCTATGTTTGATCTTCTTCTATCAGTATTTGCCCGTCAATTAGCAACACGTCGCAAGATAATTAGGTGGCCCAAACCCAAAAATTGCCATGTGAAGCACTGATCAACGCAGAACCCAAGATGTTCAGTGCATGAGTACAACATCACTTCTGCAGGCATCCTGCCTGTGCAATGCACACACACACACACGCGCACACTTTAACTGCGAAAGAGACTATGCCGTCGACTGGAGACAAATCGATAAAATCGCATTAGCGATAAAAAAACTCCAGCAAGTTGGTGGTTGATGTGAGACTAACGAATTCGATGCGAGACTAGCGAATTGCATACCACGTCGGCATACTAGCAGAGTGCCCAACTGCTTGGCCTTGGCCTTGACTCTGGGCTGAGCCTTTGCTTTGGCGTTGGACTGGAATATTTTTGTCATAGCACCTAGCATGGTCCGTCTTCTTTGGCTTGGGGACAGTGGTTTCTCACGCGTCAATGTCCTTTGGCAGGAGCTGCTGGCAGAGGCTGCTGTCTTCTCCCTTTTCACTTCCCTTGCAGGGGCTGGATATTCTCTTTTAACTCGTCAGGTCCAAGTTGGTTGAAGTGCGCCAGGGACCCTAAATTCAGGTCCAGGTCGGTTGGAGTGCATATGGCTGTGGTGGTTGTGATTCTCCAGCGCTCTGCAAGAGATCACTACATTCAAGCGTTCCGGCACAAATGCCACCAGTAGATATCAACTCTGTGAGATATCTGGTTGCTCTTCAATGTCGCCTTCTTCTTTAGCTTCCAGGTGCTGAAGGCACCCTCAAGGCTATCATTCCTCTTACACTAAGACCGTCTTCTGAGCGTGCTTGAAAGCCTGAATCGGAATATACTACTAGGTTGGTTGGGTATTCCATCGTTGTATATATTAAGCTTTGCGGTTGCTGTTTTAGCCATCTTATGAGCGTGTTTAATCTACGAACATGCACTGGTTTAGCTGTGCGGCTTTCACGCTGGAGGGCAGTGACATACACTGCGGCATCAGGTCTGTCTGGTCAACAACGCGTATGCAACAGTCATCAGCAAGCTCAAAAACTGTCTGCGAACTTCCTCAGGCAACACATCCAGAGCCTTGTGTTCTGGTTGCAGTTGCATTTCTCGAATGGCAGAAATGAAACTCATTTGATCCAGAAAGATGCTGCCATCTGGGTTCTGTCGATGTCTTACCCCACAAAAGGTAAAATTGTCGCATTCGAGGTCCAATTTGCCAAACTCTTTTGCAAGATGCTGGGCTAATTTCTCGATGTCATCTTTGTGACCACTGATCTTGAAATCATCGACATGTTTGAGAAGCAGCATGCTAAGCTCACCCTTACTGTCGTGCCAAAGTTCTAGTTCGATGTCCATGATGGATGGTTTGAATCCAAAAGCTGCTGTGACCCTTTTTAATTTCAAGTTAAATGCCCGGGGGGCATCCTTACAGCCTGTGCCAGGCTTAGTGCATCTTAGGACTTCTGAGGCAGGATTGAAATCACTAAAACCTGGCAGCTGACGCAAGCAGAAAATGGGTTGACCACTTAGCTCAAAAGATACTTGTCTTTCTTCACGGCCTGTCTCTTTAGCAAGTTCGGCATAGGAAATGCCTTGGAGGAAAGCCTTGGGAATATCTGTTGACGCTAAGGACCATCTTCTGGCTGCTGTCTCACTAACAAGCAATCGTTGCGAAAATCGGGTCGCAGTTGGGGAAGTATTTACATCTTGATCAGAACCTGTATCCTTGAAACCACGGATGCACAATCTAGCTCGAATAAATCTCTTGCCTTGTTTTATTTTCCATGTAAAAACCCATCGAACATCTATTACGTTTCTGGCTTCACTACGCTTCTGTCTTTCAAAGCACTGGAACCCAAGACTTGGCAATCGTGCCCAAGTGCGACAAATTCGGCATGTGTCAACGATGCCATCTATCATATCCAAAGTTTTCTTTGGAATTCCAACGCGATGGAGAATTGCTTTCAACCTTTGAACACTTATGTGCCACCATCTGATATGTAGCTTTCTGAGGATCCTACGCTGTCCATCTTCATCTGAAAAACGAATGCCTCTTAATGAGCTACTTACATCAAAGGATGACCAATCTGATGGGACTAGTGGCTGAAGAGTGGTCTTCAGCAAAAACATCACAAATTCTTGTTCTGCTGCACTTCTGGAATGCGTAGCACTGGCTGTGACTGTCGCCACATCATATACATGTTCAATGGCAGGGCTGCAACTGCAAGGCGTATCGGAAATTGGACAGGAACTGGCGATGCGGTGAATGACAGCGCTGGGCTCCATCTGGTTTCCTGCTTTGATACCTAATGCACACCATCGGTGCTTGGACTCATGCAATTTACATTTTGATCTAAGTTCAAGCAACTGAGGTAATTGCCAAGCATCGACACGGTTCGTTGAAATGAAAACTGGCACATCGTATCTTTGGGAAATGGTTACCAACACGCGTAGTTTCTGAGTTACCTGGCCTAAGCGATTGGCTCCGCAAAACGCCTTTGGCATTTGCCAGTCGATCCAAGTTGCTACATATTTGCCTATTTTATATCCTCTATAATCCTGTCAAATTCAAGTGCTCTGAGAAGCTCCAACGGTCTGAACCTGGATGCTTCCTTGTCGAGGCTGTGGCATGCAGCGATGCTGCTGCTGTGGTTTGAAATTACCAAGCAGTGTCCCTTCTGTGCGCTTGCGCTTGGAACTTTTGCGTTTGGTCGGCTCTCACTTTTTGGCATATACACCTGCTGGCAATGTCTCTGCTTCATATGCTGGACGGGGCATCACTGCTGGACAGGCTGATGTGTGGGACTTAGCTTTAGGCCTGATGGCGCCATAGAAAGTCTTTGGTGGTGCAGGGTTGATGGCAAGCTTTTGGGATCTGCTGTGCTTGCTTGTGACTACCCACTCTCGGGTTGTAATTTGTGGCGACCGATGCTCACCTGATCGCCTGCATTGTCATTCTCGTTAGACATGTGCATCACCTTAGTGTTTGGTCGCTCGGACCGGGCTTTCTTTAACGCAGCAAAGTCAGTGAATGGCAGCATGAGGTGCCCTGATTATGCTTGCTCTAAGGCATATGATTCCGTGCCTTCAGGCAAAATCATTTCAACCTCAGTACCTTCAGGGATGAAATGCATCATGTTGCTGCGTAGGTCCAATATGGTGCCATGCTTCTTTAGCGATTGTAGCTCTAGCAGTGCCGGCATCCTGCTGTGGCGGGAGTGAAATCACCTAGGTTCATCGTTCCATCTGATCTCTGCAAGGCAAGTGGAAATACTACGTCTTGGGTGCATGTTTGGCATCCTTTTCCAACGCCACCGACATGCATTGGCTTCTCACGATTGATGAGTTGGACAGAATGGTCATGACTGAGCAATGTGGACTGCAGGTCTTCAACCCATGCATCACCAACTAAATTACCATAGCTGCCAGGATCAATCAGCAAACCATGACCTTGCGCAGGGCGAACCTTGGAGTGGTAACTAGCAGACTCTTCCACACCTTGTTGTACCGGGTAATTGTACCGGCCACCGTGGGAATGCTGAAGCTTGAGGGCTGCGGAACTCACTGTGGTCATCTGCATCACCATCGCTGGGCACTGGCGTTTCAACTGCAGACTGAACACTGGCAGGTGTAGGTGATGGTGACTGCTGGGCTTGCTCTGCCGGCGGGCCGGCATGTCCTGCACTCGGCTCAGTCGGATGCTCTGACACAGTGGGTGGCACTGCATAGACCCATGTGCGTGTCACTGACGCCTCTGTTCGGCAGTTGGGACACTGCACGACCTCTCGATCCCAGGAATGTTGCATCAATTCGCTAAAACACAGGCTATGGAACAAGTGGCCGCATGTTATACGCAGCAGCTCTTCGCCTTGGTTGAACAGCTGCTGGCAAATGGTGCACCTGTCTGTGAATGGTGTGCTGGGCGGTCTTTCCTGTGCAGGGGTGCTGGATGCTGATGGCTCCTGAGATGCGCGGGATTCTTCTGACCTTGTACCAGTCAGGCGATTCTTGGTGGCATGGATGCTTGCAAACATATTGGTCACTTCGGCAATTGGTAACGTTGGTTCATCCAGTTGAGGCACTTGCACTTCGTCAGGGGGTTCACTGGGTGGCGCATTCGATACGCCTGGCGTGGCTGGCGCGTTGGCTAAATTGCCATATGCGCTCACAAGCCATGCTGGAACTCGGTTGGCATCGCTGCTGCCAGCAGACTCTTCTTGTTCCTGGCGTTGCCTGGAAATGCCAGCGGAAGTTGCGCACGGATTGCTTCCAAAGCTGGATCACTCAAAAGTTGGGTTGAAGTAGAACTAGGCAAATCACTGCGCGAGTCTTCTAATGGCATATATGGGATGTTCCAACTGTTATTGAGCAATGCTCGTGATGTCAAACTGACTGAATGCAAACATGGTGGCGCTACATGCTGGTCCGGGAAAAGCCATGGTGGCATTGGTGGCATTGATGGCAGGCTCTGACTTGACGATGGCTGGTTTTGATACCACTGCATCCATGGGTCTGGCCCACCTACCCACGGATCTGCTTGCGATGTTGGCTGTGCAGCTGATGGGTGCGTGACGTCGTCGTTTGGCCTGTCAGGCGTCATAGCATGCACTTCTGGAAAATGAGGAGTTGCTCTGTCTCGAGCGGGTGCAGGACGTGATGATGCAGGAGGAGTACTGGCACCAGCATCATCTGGAACCTGGGACCAACTACCTAAATCTGACGGGGCACTAGATTCATAGGTCGCAAAATGCAGTGAAGGTTCTTCTGACACAAACATATGGCGGGCAGCAGCTGGTTGGATGTTACCACTGCCAGTCTGCGACTGGGATTGCAGCTGACCTTTGACCTTGTTGATTGCACCTAGCTCGCAAGTGATTCATTGAACCGCAAACTGAACATCTCATGATTTGGCCATTGCGGTCTTTGCGATTGTATCTCCGACCAAATCCCTTGCCGCTGGTGTTGCCCCCTTTTCCTTTACCCTTGTAATATGCAGACTCTTGGAGAATTTGCAGGATATTTAAGAAGGAATCGTTGCGGCCCTTCTTTCCTTTGCCTTTGCCTTTCTTCCTAAGAACCCTGCGCAATGCTCTTACGGGTTTTCCTGTATACCTCCTCCGCCTACGCTTGGCATGCTGATATTCACCGAACAAGTACATGTCAGCTTGATGTTCCGTCATGCCTTGAAGGTCACTGGTGTCAACATGACCACCTGAATGTGAAGATGTCGCTGAATCAGTGTCACTTGTCCCATCCATGACAGGGAATGACCACTCCTGGCCCCATTGGTGCATTCCAATCTAGATTGGCGTTGGGATCATCAGTGGTGTTGGGGCTTGCATCTGCAGGGTAATGGTTGGTCTGCGCATGCTGACCCTGACGCAATGTGGATGCTATGTTGAGTGGTTGACGTTCGATGATATGTCCTAAGCGTCTGACATGGCTACACAACATGTTGGCTGTTGAACTGCTGGTCGGTGGATGGAAGTCTGTAAACAAATGGAAGGGTTAAGGATTGAAATTGCTCCGATGTGCAATTGCATGCGCGCAGCAACAACAATGAGGCTGTCTCTGTACTCACCTGTGCGCCGCCACCCTCTTGTCGGGCTCTGCTTCTCACCAGCTCAAATCTTGTGATCAGCGCATCTATGGTTTCATGAGGGTGTCTAGAGAAGCTAAGAAGTTCCTGGGCAGCGCGCAACCGACTCTCGTCGTCTAATGGGGCGAATCGGTGGCTAAACCCCTGTAATAGATAACTTACGGAATCCAACTGAATGCCGTTGAACACGCCACCGTTATACAATTCCTGTGGGGTTATGCTCCTGGCCAATTCTCTGGCTGGGCCGCGCAGCTGAGCAATGATCATGGCCGCTTGTTGGTGGGGTTGTAAATCTGTTGAGATGGTCCACAACATGAGATCTTGGCTCCAATTACGGAATGACTGATGTTGGTCTGATGGATCATACACTGGCGGCAATCTCATTTGGGTACCTCCTGGGACCATGAAACCAATGAGCAACACAATCATTATCGGGATTGCTACAATGATGGTATGAATGATGGGCAATCGCTTTGCTTGGGGGACAGAAGGCTCTACATCGTTTGGTGATGCGGCAACATTGGGCTCACCCTGCTGATTTTCAAGTGACATTACACCTTGAGCTTCATGCAAAAGTAAAAGCATCACCACAGTACGCACCTTCTGTTGCTGGGCATTGAAATGATCAAACATGATGCGAACTCTGCGGGACTTTCTGCAGTTGCCTATTTTTACAAGCTCATATGCTCTTGGGTCACGATGCTTGAGGTAAATGACAAACACTGTCCCAAACAGCAGTACCAACATCATGATGGAAAACAAGGCTGCTTCACTGATTTCTGCAATTTCGGCATTTAGGGATTTCACGGTTTCTGCCTGCGGCAGTGTCACAATGGATTGATCTCTGACTTGCTGGGCGACACAAAAGTTGGATGGTTCATACCTGTACATGCGATGGGCGATTTCTGGAGAAGAAGACGAAGATACACCGAAGGACGAATCCTGACGTGGGCTGTTCAAGAAAGTCGACATAGACATGGCAGGCCCAAAGGACGTCCCTGTGACATGGCCAGTGCCACAAGGAACAATAGCATCATCGCCCCCTTGGAAAGAAGAACAGGGCTCCGCTAGCAACCGGAAAATCAAGATGAGGATCAACATCAAGATTCACACGCTGTTTTCTCTGCAGAATGAACTTGTACCAGTACGGCTGCCGAATGATGTGCTGAGGACATGTTACACTTCGAGTCTCCAGCACTCTGCTAGGTGTTGGATGACCACCACTGAAGCCTCCACTAAAGACGCTGTCATGACTTCAAACTGTTGCGCCAGGTCTCTAGCCCTCACTGGAACTTTCGTTGTAATAATGAACATGTGCGGGTGGTTGGCCCGGCAGAGCTGTATCCACGCCAGACTGCCAAGCCCACTGGGGATCGGCTGGCAATCTCGATTGATTTGCGTCCACACCTAGATTGCACTTCTCGGGTTCCAGAGAGAACCACCAAGATCCTTTCAGCTCAACGTTTCCGCTCTGACTGCTTGCACCAAGGCTTCGAGGTGTGAAGAGGAGATCTCCAGGCACAGCACTGGTTAACGATGTCGGATGTCGGTATATCAGACCACCATTGCTTGTCCCTCTGGCTGCTGATGTAGTTCCCTTCTCCTGGTCCTCGCCAAAAGCTTTTGGTCTGCACCGCCCTTGAGACGTGCCATGCCGCAACAAACCACGGCACAGGTCGCTGTCAAACAAGGAAGAATTGCCATCATGCAGCTCAGCTCCTGGTCTCGAAAGCCTCTCATAGCCGGCTTGAACTTCCGGTGCATCCGGCTGCCATTGCATCCGACTATTGGGAGTTCCAGGCATGTTCCGTGGAGAACTGTTGGAGGGCATGGTCCTCAAACTGCGCCATCACATGTCTAAAAACAAAGAAACAAATATGAAACGTTGATGCTCAGCCAAAGCGACATTTCTCACTAATCCAAAAATTGCTATGGCTATCAAAAAAATCCAATATCTGTTCCGTTCATGATTCATGATGCACGCTTCTTCCGAGTCATAGCTTGACATGGACAAGACTGACCAGAATCCAGCAGTTCCACAATCCTGTGCAATGCACACATAAAACACGCAGTAAAGCACAATCGGAAAAACGTCGATGAGGGAAATCACACATGTCACCTATTATGTGCCATGCGAAGGCCATTTTGAGAAGATGTATAAAACACCACACGAAGAAACGAACCAAAATTGAAGAAATGTTGAGTCGGATACTGCCAAACACCTTGTAAAACAGAATGTAAAGTGTCAAGTCGTGTGTTAAACACGCAGTAAACTGTTTGCAAGGAAATACGGCATCCATGACACTGTACAAGGCTGTTGACAAAAATTGTAAAATTGTGCTACAGGATAGACCAACACTTCCAAACATCTCCAACCCCCAGGTATTCTGCATATTTTGCGCATATCCCGTGCACATTATGCGCATTCACTGTGCATTCATTGCGCGTTCGCCCGCGCCTGCACCTTCCAAGGCATGACGTCCAACTCCAGGGCGGCCATGGAGGCCATGGTGGCTGGTGACAGAGCTGCCCCAGTCACAGTCATTCCTTTGCACAGCGGCACAGCGGCACTTCGGTCATTTGGGCGAGACAATACAGAATTGTACCCAGTATGGGCAGTGTCTGAATGTCAAGGTAAGTCATGAGGCAATGTGTTACATATTATAATTGAATATTACATTACATAAATATATCATATCTTACTGTACTGATACTATGATACACATATGGGATCATATGATATGTGTCCATGACGGTCCATCATCTTTTATCATGTCATGTAACATGGTATTGTCCTATGCGTGGCACAATCCTCTCCAGGAGCGTGTTTCTGGTGCTGCCAAGCGGCTGATCCAGTAAAAAGATGTAAAAAGGGCTGGATTCCGTGATAGCGCTGTGACGAGGTTTGAGGCAAAAGGGGCAGCTTCGGCAAACCAATGGAAGTCTTTTCCAAAATTTTCCACAGTGGGGCTGACCCATCTCTCATCTGAATCATCATCTGAATCATCTGATCATCAATCATCTGATCAGTTCTTGTCATGCCTTGTGTCTCAGACTCTTGGAGACAGTTTGAAACCATCAAAGAGATTGTGACCAACCATGGTCTGTTGTGCAGGCGCATTGATATTGTTTATTAGTGCCAGAGCGAGAAGTCTACACTAAAGGGCAAACCAATGGAAGTCTTTTCTCTTCAACCTAAATCTGAGGGAAGCACAAGTGGCGCCTGGCCAGCTGCCATGCTCCTGCACAGAGAGGTATAGCTGTCGTGTGTATATAATTATATAATGTTTATGCAAGACAACACAGTGAACAAGATCTACAGTAAGACAAAGACTGCTTGCACAAGGACGCACCACCCTTTCAATTAGGGACAAAGACAGAGTCAGCCACACGAGTCAGTCGCCCCAAACGTCCGAGTCAGGAACCCCATAGGACAAAGTACCTTAAAACAAATCCTGACGAAACCCATCATTACCCTAAACCAACCCTTTAAAAACCCTAAACCCCAAGCCAAGCCTAAATTAACCCCAAACCAACACGAAGTCAACCCTAAATATACCCTAAAAACAAGGTAACACGCCTCCTCAGAAATCATGAAAAATCGATCAAAATTGAGCATTTGACCATATTTGACCTGGTATTTACAGTGTCATTCCAGGCCCCGAACTGCAAAAGTACGCAAAACTTGTTTTTCATCCAGAGCAGCTTGGGTTTCTAGTCTTTCTGGTTATGTCGGTAGACGAACTGGTATATGTATTCCCACAAACGGGGATTAATGACTTTGTCATTTCTGTTTTTCAAGGCATGTGGCACGATTTTTTTCAGCCACATCCAAGACCTATCTAGGACTTGTGTGCCAGCCAATTTGGCTTTGCCTTTGACTTTGCATTTCTTTGTCCATTCGGACTTTTTATGTACAACGTGCAGTAGCGCAGCATGACGTGTGTGTGCAAGTGCAAGAGGAACGTGCAGTAGCGTAGCATGACCTGTGTGTAGAAGTATACTTGAACGTTATTAGCCCCCCCACCCCACCCCAGCCCACCCCACCCTACCCTCACCGTACCACAAACATATCATCAACGTCCCATCAAAAACGTGCACCGTTGCCGGAGTACCGAGAGTACGTGACACCAAAAACAAACCATGAGGAAACCCTGCAGAAACCTTAAACGAACCCCAAAACCAACCCTCCCCAATATACCTTGAAACAACCCTCAGCCAATCTTCGCCCCCGTGGAGGGTGACTGACTCCGACGTGGGGGGGTGATTGACTCAGGGTGGTCTGACTCTGCTAGTGGGTGACTGATTCCGTCTGGTCTCTTTCAATTATGGAGGTTGTTCCTGCTCTTCAAACCAACACACTTGGCTCACGCTTACATGCTTTGTGTTTCCATGAATTTTCGATGAAGCTTCAATGATTCAAGCTGCGATCTGCTGAGTGACTGTCAACATCTCCTCTCGGAACACATCTGCAGCTCTGAGCACCACATACCTGCGCTGCTCCCACGATCTGCAAAAGTGACATCTCGATACAACTCCGTCACGCCGATTCAGTGCTGATTCTACGGAGCACCACGACACCAGGGAGTCCTCATCCTGCGAGCGTAACCAGCTTCAACAGGACGCCAGGGCAGTGGCGGAAATCAGGTCATCGCAAGCAGCAAGCTTTGTCAAAATGTGCCAAATGCAGTCCTCCAACTCACTCTCCAAATCAAGACCTCCTTCTGGACTGCCTTAGGCAACACAGAAATCTATAGAAAACTAACAACATCTAACAACCCTTGAATATGCCTTGATCTCAGCTGACTCACCTGTGCTTATCGCCATGAATCTTGATGTGTGTGGCATTTCTTGGAATCGTTTCAGATCATTGAAGATCTTTGGCCCCTGCGGCACTCTGCTTCAAGTGTCCTGAATTGAAACACCTGAGCTTACAGATTCAAAAGAAACGGGTTCAAGGCAGTAACAGCCATTGACTGAATAAGACAAAAGAAGAGAGTGCGCCATAGTGTACCATATGGTGAGACAAGGTTGCCTCGCAGTAGAGCGCATTCTGGCAGAAGCGCTTGACAAAGTCGGCCGGAACCGGCCTGCTCAAGAAATCCCACGCTGGTTGCAGAATTTGCAGTGATTTTTCAAACAAACCAAGACCCTGAGGCAATCGAGGCATTCAAAAAAACTGAGATCCCCGCTCTTCAACGCCGAGCTCCTTCTGGATTGTTGCAACCTGTCAGACAGAATCTGTATTGCTAAATTACCCAAAATGAGACCAGGAAAACTCAAGCATGTCAAATGGATTGAAATGGATTCAAATGGCAACAGTTGCATTGAAATGATTTGAGCTCAATTTAGTTGGAGTTGCATGGGCAGTGATTGCTGCGTGGTCTCCATCTGCACGACTGGAGTATATTTCCTGCGAGATTTTGTCGCTCGCATCACGGATGTTAGGGGTCCCATGTCAGTCTCAGCACCAAGCACAGCGCGGATCTTTTTTTTCGAGGCTGGACAGAGATGCTCATGGCCGTAACCGCACGCAGCGGTTCCCATTGTCAAAGGCATCAAACATCACATAGGGCCTGAGCCGCACAACTGGCATGTGCGTCTTGTGGACTCAAATTGGAACACCATTGCTGATGCCATGATGTAGTCACCAACATGGTCACACATCAAAACAAGCACTCTGTACATGTCTATCTCTAGACTGGCCCCACTTGGATTCCAAACAGCGGCGGAAGTTCCATGGTCGTAGCCTCCTTAGAGACTTCCACAAAAGCCTCCACAGGGAACCCAGAGCAGGATGCCACAGACAAAGCCATGCTCTCAAAATCTGAACCCCAGAATCCTATGGTCTATATTACAGTATGTTGTTTATTTATGTTTATTTATCATCAGTTTCCCATTTAAAATTTGGGGTGCCCCCACTTTGACACAGCCCCATTTGTTGCTCATTGTATGACACTCACTGGAACTGACTCCATGACCTCCAAGTTGGCTCGCAGGACATCTTCAGGTAGGTTGCCAATCAGGGCAGTGATGACACGCCTCGTTGCGTCACTCGCAATGTCTTATTCTGTCTTGCCAATCTTGCCATAATCTTGCAATTTCTATCCATTTCTATCGATTTCTTAGAATGTCTTAAACTGTCAAATGCATTCAAATGCATTCAAATGCATTCAAATGCATTCAAATGCATTCAAATGCATTCAAATGCATTCAAATGCATTCAAAATGTCCTAAAGCGTCTTGATGATTCCAACTTGTCTCATGTCGACTGATCGTACTTGATGTGCGTCTTGACATGCACCAGGCTTGTGCTGATGTGGTGGCGCAATCAGCGCATCTGTCCTGCCATGTCCTGCCTGTCGGGTAGGACAAATGCAATATGTGGGATGCCATCAACTCGAAATTCGCGAGTCCACCTGGACAAAACCAGGGCATAAAAAAACGGCTGTTTCTGCTATTGGCATGTGCACTACGATGCCATGCAGAGCATCCCCTAATGAATATGATGTACCGATGTACCACTTTGCTTTTGAGTGCAGACTTTGTTCAGGAGAAATTGTAGTCAAAAATAATCAAAAATAATCAAAAATATGCACATGCGTCAATCTGAATCCTCTTTTTATCAGCCAAGGGGCCAATCCATGTCGTCATCTCCAGTATTTGCAACCCAGCTGGACACATCAAGAGTCACAAACTCGACATCTTGTCCAAACCTTGGCTGTCAGGGCCAATGTTGCAAAAGGCAGACTAGGATGGGCGCTACTGAAGGTTCGGATTGGCTTGCGATTTTGATAGGATACTTGATACAGTATATCGTAACATACCACAGCCAAGCAGCTGCCTCTTCAAGTCCTTAGATAAGTGCGAAGTAGTGCGAAAAAAGCATTGAAAAACATTTGAAAACAGCATCTGAGAATCTAGATGAATATAGCACAACCATAACTTAGAAAACTCAGGCACAGGTACTCAGCCCACTCGAACATGATCAACCTTGCAGCCAAGAGGCTCGCATCGTTCCCGCTGACTGAAGGCAATCAACGCACCAGGTGGCTGAAAAGTCCACCAATAGAGGCCTCACCACAAACCGGAGCTACAGAATCGACATGAAAATCAACTGGAAACAAATTCGAAACAAATTATATAAGGCTTGAACCTGTTGGACTGCAATGCTAGCTGCAGTGGTCTTGACTCTGCAGCTGCTTCAAGGATCATTTTGGCTGCATCTTCTTGCGTATTTCCTTGGTGGACATGCAGCATACTGCAGATGAACGACCCACGACATGACATGAAGATAACTGTCAAGGCCACTGGTCATCTGTGACAAGGATCCACGAAGCCAGGGCGTGACCTTCCACGCAACTTGGACAACTGAAGTGCACTATGAATGACTGAGATGACAAAGAGAGAGAGAGAGAGAACAAAACCTTGCAGCCAAAGGTGCCAAAAACCTTTGAAACAGCATGCAATAAAATGCAACCAATTCAACAACTTCGCAACTCCAATTAATTACTCCAATCAAAGAACTAATTCAACTAGACTAAATGATTCAACAACTTATTCATCAGCAATTCAGCAGCTAATTCCCACTAATTCCGCCATCTCCAAAGTCGCCTCCGAGACGTTGGCCACAACCACACTGCCAAAGAGCGAGGCCAGCGCCAGCCTGCGCCTCAGCACAAGACTTCACAAATCTTCCTGTGAGATTTTGTGCGTACGCAAAGTATTGCAAATGATGCGAATATCATCAGGTATTAATATGTATTAATTATTAATCAAACATGCTGAATTCAAGTTCGAGGTTTCTGTCAGGGTGCCAGTACTTAAGTAAAATCGAAACAATAGTGAGGAATGAACGGTCCATCGACTTCAAAAGTACCTGGCCGCAACGTAGACTAGACTTGCAAGACTCATCCCGGAGATCCATGTAGATCTAGCATGGAAGCAGAATGCTAAATGAAATGTCTGAAATGATCTGGGCACTTGGAGTCGTAGGTGCAGATTCCGCCTTCAAGTGCCAAACTGCACGGGCTGATCAGCTTGCTCAAGATTGCGAAAAGGGAAAGAGCAAATATGATACAAAAAGCAGTGAAGCCTCTAGCGGCAGGGGTTTGTACTCGTAGATGCCAGCCTGTGCAGGCACAACAAACTTGAGAAGGGGTGGACGAAAGGTGGAGGGAGTGCCATCACAAACATGCAGAGAGAGGAAGAATGAACGAGCTGAGCTTGAGGAACTCATAGGAACTCTATGTGGGCTATGGCAAAATCATCCAAAATCAGGAAACACAGTGTCACTTTGAGGGCTACCATGAAACAAGCCTGCGTCAGGCACTCTCGCTCAATACACGTGCTTTGAGGGTGAATAGAAGGAAGAGGGCTCAATAGGGCTCAAGTAAAGATTTCCGTCTCAACCGTAAAACATGACTCACATGACTGCGAGGCAAAGGACCACCCTAGTGTCAACGCACATCAACTCAGGTAGCTGACGCTACCTTTCGTGACAGACAAGGCTGCAGTTGTGTGAATTTGTGCTGGGCCTGATCCAATGCTGTCACTCTCACTGCCACCTGCAAATTGATGGATTATCCAGCTGCAGTCATTGAGTCATCAGACATAAGTGACATAAGTCTTGAATGCCACAGTGCCACAGCCTTCTTCGTGTCTGGTTTCTCCTTGAAGAGAGCCAGGACAGTGGCACTTAAAGCCTGAAACAAATCTGAGACCAATCTGGGTCGCTCCGGAGTCGCTCCGGAGTCGCTCCCAATCCAAGGATCTGGCCACGTAGATGACTGCCTCCGCTTGAAGACCGAAGATGTCATGCACGACCGTCAGCAGCTGCCATGCTCCCACCTTGCGAGTCATCCAGTCATCCAAGTGAGTTTCGCAAGCTTCGCACTTTGGAAAGGGCCGAAACAATCTGGAATCAGTGACAGCAATTTCATAGATGCCAACACCTGTTAACATGTGTTGACAGGATTGTATTAATGTATATTCAAAATATTCATATATTATGTGTATATATATATTATATATATTATATATATTATATATATTATATTCATGTAATCTATTGTAATCTAGTCTATTTGGTTCACACAATCCTAATCCTAGGGGACACAGCGACGAAGCTCGGAGGCTGACGAGAAGTATAGCGGCGCCGCTGAGTTGCTTTCCTGTCAGATCTGTCAGGATGCCGAAGTGAGGTCAACAAAACCGAAGCTAAATACACGCAATCTGTGCAATCTATGCAGTGAGCAGTGCCTGGCAGTCTGAGACAGAAACAGGAAGAAAGTTCCCAACATTTTCCAACCTCCAAGACACCAAAAGTATCCAAAAGTAATGCTGCCACGATACCCCACTGACCTTGCTCCTGCAATAGGCCAAGCACGTGCACCGAAAATGCTGAGATTCTCAAAGTGTGAAACAGCTCCTGAAAGATCGGCAGCAGACTTGTTGACATGCTGGCCAAAGCTACTGGTGTGCTGTAGCCTCAGTCTTCACAGCTCCCGAAAAATCCGAAAGTCAAGCTATGTGTACGAGCTCCACCAGAACATATGATGATTATGATGCAACTCAGAAGCCCATTGCATACGCAAAAAGTAAGGTTGCAGAGCTTGCAACTCCTACCTCAGAAGCAAAGCTATCTTGACGCAACTAATTACATTAGGATGTGTGGTCAGTGCCACGTGCAAAAAAATGCTCATGACTCATGTCATCTCATGACTGTAAGATTCTGCTCGAAACGGTGCTACTCCCAACTGCAGATAAGTCGCAGAGTGGGATGCAATGTAAGAGGTGATGGTCACAAGGACCTTGGTACTTTCGCAGTAACATCTTGGCACGTGTCATCGTACTGTCCACGCAAGATCTTTGCAAGGTCAGAACTGGGGTGGCGCATGGCGAAGAACCTCGATCCAAGTTGTCAGTTGAGAAGTTGAGAAGTGCTAAAGTTGCGAAAGTACGCTAGAACATGGGATGCCACAACAAGGATGGTTCTAAGACCAGCGCCGGCAGCGCTTGCGGCTCCTAAAAGAAATCCTCGGATCTCAGATGGTGCGTCTTCAACCTGGCCAAGACCTGCCGCCCAGCACATCAAAGCTTTGTTTCATACAGGGAACAGAATGGTTGTATTTATTTTTCGAATCAAAAACAGCAGCATTGCAGCCTGGAATTCCCGTCAAACGAAGTGGGACTACATCCAGAAGGCCTGTGGTACGATGAGTCAAGATCAGTGATCGAGTAGCACGCTGCATCTTGGGAATTTGGCTGCCGTGCAGCCAAGTGGCTCAGGCCCATCACTACAGCCACAACTGGAAAGAGCCAAGGAAGAATCCCTGCCAACCGAATTAACGGAATGTGTCGGAAGCTGGTGACTTCTGGAGGACATGTAAGGCCGGTAGGACCTGCCCCAAATTCCCACGATATCTCCAATAGTCTGAAGATGTCAGAAGTGTTGCGTTGCAAATGTGTTGCAATATGTTGCAGTAGCACTCGCAACATCAACTGGCCACACCTTCTCCCAAAGGCAGCCTGGCGAACTTGCGAACTTCAGGATCGCCATAGTTTGTCCAGATCTGAGTTGACCTGCACCTGCCTCTCACCCGCCAAAGCAACTGCCATCCCAAGTGCCATGAGGACAGCAGCAGAGCCTGAAAAGACGTTGTTGAAATTTCTTAATACAGGTACTTTTACATGTAAAAAACATGGATCTTCATGGTACTTATCACATGGGAAAATGCGAGCGAGCGCAAGGTGGAAATTCAGAATGCACAGAATCCAATCACTTCCACAATCACTTCAAGCCCACCTGATGCATACGACAGCGCTTGCAGGGCTGGTGAGCTCTGCCTGGGAAGAGTCAGAGGCCTCCTTTTGCACCTCTAAAACTTGAAGCCCTAACGGTCCTAACGGTCCTAACTGCTTGAATGATTGAGTAAAACTTGAACGTTTGCGTCAAGTCTGTGTCTCTCGTGTGGATTGACTCATTCGAGTGTTTCAAAATTGTGGGCCCCTTATATTCTCCGCCTGGATAGTGCAGTTACGCTCGCTGCAGCTGCAGGCAGGGTTGCCATGTTACAAGGATTGAACGATGATGCAAGTCCTTGGCTCTTGCGTGATATTCAACCATTCTCTCACATGCTGTGCCCCTTCTGGACTGAGACTCCAGAGCTTTCAGCATGTTTCTTTAATTTCAGCTCAGCATCCTCCGAGGAATAGCAGTGGTGCCAGAAAAAAAACCTGGTTGGATGTAAGACCTGGGAACATCTGGGAACCAGGAAATATGTGGACCATCCCAGTACGCTTCGTCACGACTTATAGCCAGTACGCCCATGTACGCCCTCTAATTTCGGTGGACAAAATCCGCCTGAAGAGACCATCTCGTTGGCTTGTGACGCAAGCGCATAGATTTGTGACCTCAAACCCATCAACCCACGGCCCTCTGAGGAACTATAGGAACTTGGACAACAAAATGAAAGGATAGGAAAGGCATGTTTCAATAACTCATTGTTGATATATAGAGTTATAGAGTTATATAGTTTGGAACAGGCCCAAACCTGCCAAAACCACCCGCAACAAGAGATCTGCTCAAACATAAGATTGGGAATCAAAACTGCCAAAAAGCTGAGGAGAAATTGCCAACTCTGTGGTGCTATGTGATGTAGCCATCGTAAGTTGCCAACTCAATGCCATAGGCAGATGAGGCATCGAGCGGTGGCGGAACAGCACGAGGCAATGTCTTTCTCCAAATCCTTCGAGGAACCTGGAAAATTGGATAAACGAAATGAATCGAAATGCACCGTTCACTGCAGAACTTGGGAGTTCAACAACAGCGCCTGGGCACGCTGGAACAGTTTGACAGGACTGCCCGAAGCTCCCACACCTTGTTTCACGATTTACAGTCTGGTTTAACGACAATGACACCAGTATACACCAGTGCTTCACAGTGGAACCAAGAAAAATCTGATCTAAGTTCGGCTCCTGCAGGGTATGGGATCCTCCAACAAGTTCTGTGATTCGCAAGAAATGAGTAGCGCTAATCAATGCAGTATCTACAGGAGATAGACTGGCCGAAAATTAAAAGAAGAGTTGTAAAAAGTCTTGAGCAGAATCCACATCCATGGTTCATGTCACAAAGGCTGACGCGCTCCTTGTGCCTTCTGCAAGAGATACTCCCATGGCTCAGCTGCAGCGCCAGCTTATCGGTTTTGATTCTTTTGGAGCACACACCATTCTTAAAACAACTGCTGCAATTACCTCAGTTCCTGGAAAAAAAATTGTTCGGCTTATCAATGGCAAAAGGATGCAGAAGGAGACAAGGAACACACCCAAGCTTCATGCAAGTTCTTGATCATCACAGCTACCACAGCTTTCTCATGATGTATCTCTTGGTGTGCCAATTTGACGAATAGCAGCTTTGGGATCAGAAAACTCATGCATGGCACCACATGTTGCACATACTGCACAAAGTGAGTTCAACGGAGATTGGAACAGATCCTGGAGTTTGATGTACATGTCGGTGCTGGCCTCATTCAAAGAAGACTGCCTGTATCTATCTGTATCTTGTGTCATGCAATAGGAAACAACGCGGGTCTCCTACTTGTACGCCCTGTTGACTCTACAAAAATCCATAAGTCGCTGGCTGTCATGTCAGGCAGGCTGCCGGCAAGTGGAAGCTTCCCACAGTCTCTGACAAATTGGGAGACCTTGACAGTCTTGCAAACGAGAGAACCGAGCTAGTATAGTTCTGCATGAATTCTTGGTGGGAAAGAGTTCTGAAATCAAGACGTACACGATTGGATTGCCAGTGCACATCTAGTCTCTTCGTTGCACTTTTCGATAGATACGTAGTTGAGAAGGATGGAGTCTATGGGTTATGTCTTCGCAGACAATTCATGTACACACTTGGCCGCGCACACATCTCATCAGTTCTCCACTCATCTGCTAACAAGGCACTGCTCGGGCAAGTATCCAAAAGTCGCTCTTGCCGCTGGTTGAAACCAATGACAAGACCTGAAGCCGAGCGCCCGAGCGGAACCAGTGGGATCCCCGTGGGATCCGGTGAGCACTGCACAAAATGCACAAAGCTCTGAGCCAAAGCCTGCTGGACAGAGTCGGGAATGACGTAAGGCATCCAGGCCTTGGCAAAGTGCACAGCCCTGGGTTCAGGGCCATCCTTGTGTCATGGGCAACTTGGATCAACTTGGATCAACTTGGATCAACTTGGCATCTTTCCAGCCTTGTAGGCATTCTGAAGCGCCTGAGGACCATCTCTGGTTTGTGTGGCACTCAAGACCAACGTAAGCACGATCAAAACTAGATGAAAATCATCTAGTTTACCTATGGCGTATTAGTGAACCCCAGCATTCCATTCATGAAGAATCAAACTGATTCAAACTGATTCAAATGGTCCAATCCACGACATCTCAGTGTGTTTTTTGATTTTTTTCTGTGAGAAATCCACACGGCCTCGTCAAAGTTGAGCTCTTGGGGACTGCGCCGCATTTTACTCACCTGAGACTTGAGAGGGATTTTATAATGATTTTATCCGATTCAAATCCAGACCCAAAGTAAAATGAACAGGGCAATTGATGGCAATTGGAGAGCTCTGGGTGAAGAAGCTTCTGATTTAGGAACAGAATGTGTAGATATATGCAGCAATTAGACAGAGTGTCTAGAAAGCAACCTTAGCCATGGATAGCCATGGTCTGTGGCAGAACAAGAGTACTCTGAGGTCTGGACAATGTCTTTGAACTCATCCTTATGCAGAGTGAACGCATTAAAACTGGAGGCACAGGCAGGACCTTTGAGGTACCCATGTGCAACCATGTGCAGTGCAGCTTAGCAGCTTTTTCTGCTGAATTCTTTGGTAGTGTCCTTCCTTCTGCTCGACTCCTGAAGCTTCGCTGTTCCATGCTGTTCCACTACGTGCTGCATGGCGGTCGCCAATGGCAGTGATCCTCCGTCTGCGCACAAACTGTGAATCGTCCTCCAGGAGTCCAAGGCTCGTATGAGAATCACCACATATGGCCTCGACTCGAGCTCGATGAGTATGGTACATACGGTACCACATGGGGTCCTTTTCAAAGGCTACCAGTACCAGGTTGCATCACGTTGCATCACGTTGCATCACGTTGCATCACGTTGCATCACGTTGCATCACGTTGCATCACGTTGCATCACGTTGCATCACGTTGCATCACGTTGCATGTTGCGAGTCTTTGAGGGCAGGACACATGCGCATGCGCTGCATCATCGAGGCTGGCCTGAGACCGTCAGAGTGCCGGTTTGATTCTGTGCAGAGATCGAAACCATTCGAAACGTCTCGTTGGTCAAATGTGATCAAGATAGACTAGTTCAAGCGCAACTCATGTCAACTCCCTCTTGTGCAAATTGCATCTGCTCAGTTCTTCAAGCACATCCAGCACCAAAACAAGACAAGTCTAGGTCACTGACAAAGTCAATTGAATCTGCAAACCTTCGGGAACGGAGTCCACAAGTGCAGGTTAGTAACGGTTAGTACTTATATGTACTTATGACTTTCAATTCCACAAATGTCAATCCAACTCCTGGCATCAAGATATATCAAGATTGGTCGATGCAAAACACGGAGTTAATGCCGCAATTTGACCCTGTGACTCACCTCCTCAGCTCGGGAAAGGGGTCATTGAGGCGCAGGTCACCAAACCTGGCACCATTGATTTTTTATTGAAACATCAAACGCATGTATGCTACCCACCCTTATTTATAGATATTTATAGTCCATACCTTTGTTTAGGCTTTCGAAAGAACATATTGCATTTGGTGCAAGTACTGCTACATCGTGCTTTCTAAAGTTAGTACGCACTCATTTGTTGAAAGCAATCGTGCACGCTTACAATGTGCAATGTTTGTAAACAAGAAATGTCTCCCACAAATTTTACCTCTTTGAGATGAATGGTGCCTGTCAAGAAAAACATGTGTTTCTTTGAATAAACTACTGTAAACTACCTTTTGAAAAGGAAGGCACTTGTACTCCAAAGGGATACCTGCAACCTTTGAAGTGTTGAAAGAGATTTCTCTTGTCAAGTAGATTGCATCATGAAAATAATGCTACCGTCCAGGATTTCATGCGAAGCAATATTGCACCTGTTTGAATAATGGCTCTTACTTGTTTCTTGAAAGCATGTTGCCCAGCATTGCTTCCTTCAACAATTCCACAAATGCCACATCTTTGAGATGAACAGTGACCTCTAAAAGAAACTAATCAACAAAAAGGAAATCTACCTATTGAAAGGAATGCCTTTTTACTTCCAAGAGATACTGCAGCCTTTGAATAAACAAAGTTGTTAAAAGAGATTGCTCTTGTCAAATATGGTTTCCTTCAAGGATTGCTATTGCGCGTTCTAAAGTGAGCATGTACCTAGTCTTGGAAAGTAAAAAATGCACATGAAATGTGTGCTTCAATGTATCACAATGTATTTCTAACTAATACAACATCTTTGAAATGAAATCCACCTCTTGTGAACAGCATTTTTTCAAAAACGCTACATCTACCTCTTCTAAAGGAATGCACATGTGTCCAAAAAATGTTGCATTATCTGAAAAACATACTTTTTTGAAAAGGGATTGCTTTCATCAATCAAGCATTTTATTCAAGAGAAAAATGCATGTTCTGAAAAGTCATACTACAGTTTTGGAACTGCTTGTGTTTGAAAAATGCCATGTATTTCGCATTATTTTTTTGCAACCCGTTCCTTCCTGCAAGAAATATTGTTGTTTATCAGATTGGTATGCGCTCATGTTTTGAATTTTCTTTTGCATGCTTACATGTAAAGAGACAACAGATACTACCTCATCGAAATAAATAGTGATGTTTCCACGAAAAGTGACTTGTTTCAATTGTCTCAATGGAATGCTAACCATTGAAACGAAATGCACTTCTTGTTTAAGGAATGTTGCAGTTTAAAAAGCTGCCCCTGTCAATTAGTTTTTTCTTCAAGAAAAAAATGCTCTTTTGATCATCCTTCATAATAATTTACAGTGTGTTCATTGATTTTTTAAGGCTTGGGGAAAAGATCCAAAGTTCAAACTTTTTCATGGGAGTTAAATCAATCTCACCTACTTAAGGGAAACGCAAGATGGATGCATTTCCAGAGGAATGCTTTCAGAATGCATTCATCCCAAAATAGTTAAGTTCAATCAGCCTAAATGGCATGCTTACTACACTATTATATAAATATATACATATGGTACCCCCTCTTGAAACTACTGCCAAAAATTCCTCAGGCCTGAACATATTCCCCAACATATTGCAAAAACTACGGTAAATACCAGTAAAAGTACAGTAGTAAAAAGGTTGGATTCGGGGGGTTAGCATACACACATTTATATGTATTGTGTACAGTATGTAATTATGTATGTATGTATGTATGTATGTATGTATGTATGTATGTATGTATGTATGTATGTATGTATGTATGTATGTATGTATGTATGTATGTATGTATGTATGTATGTATGTATGTATGTATGTATGTATGTATGTATATACATAGATATGAATGTTGTCTAAATAACACATGTTCATGTATATAATTATGTGGTTGAAACAGATTGGACATCTAGGCTTATTTCCCTCCTGCTAGGCATCATCGGCGCATTGGAAACCCCGGCCAGGCAGACTCTGAATCTGGCTTTGTCTCACACACGCAGTGCTGCGATGCGTAAATGCGCAGCTTGCCTTTGAGGACGGCGGGACGTTGTGGGCATCTCCCATACAAACACTGCACTCACAGAATGCACATGTGTACATGCATATGTAATCGTGTATAATTATGTGTTTATATTCTATGAATACTATATATATACGTATATACGTATATATCTCAATATCTATATCAAACATTTCTGGACTTGCTGAACAAGTTATGCAGCGCCTACAAATCCAAGAGAGGTCACCAAGACCAAAGGAATGACCAGCTCCTGGAGTGGTGCTGTCAACAAGTACGGGGACTACTGTGCCACACATCTTGTTCATATATAGTCACATATGTTCATATGGTCAATGTAACACCACTTGACACCGTTAAATGGCCGCCATGTGCATATTGACAATCATTGACCTCAAAAGAATTTAGTTCAGAAATCCACGCTGCCTCACATATCTTGCCCAATTGAATCGCCGAGGTCTGGGTCATCTGGCAAGCAATCACCAGAGAGAACTGCCTGCAATCGCTGCAATCTCAGCAACATTGCAATCAATTGCAATTCATCAAATAGACTTCGCGCGCGTGGTCCATCAAATCATCATCGGAGATACTGTGGATTTCTTTCTCTGGGCCTAAAGAAGTCCTTCCCTTGGGCTACCGCTTTTGCTGGATCTAATTCTAGATGGGTCCTTGGCTCAGGAGCTCCAAAAATATCCAAAAATTAGAAAATTGCAAAACAATGAATGGAAAAGTTGTCTCACAGCGAAATGAGGCTGCCACCCTTGTACATCAGGGTTCATCTCTAGAAGCCATCGGCAAACCGCCTCCGTGCATTTCAAGATCTCAAATGTTCAATTGATATGCTTCATTGCTGCATGAAGACTGGGCTGATCATTCATGAAATCTGCAACCTCATGAAATTCAAACGCTAGATCAAATAGTACAGGACATGACACAGCCTCTGCTCTGAGCTTCCCGGAATCGTTTTCCTTCCATTTCACAAGGCATCTCTTACGTGTGAAGAAATAGACGCAATCACATGGCAAATGAAGCAAATGAAGCCATGAGTTTCGCTGTTCATTTTGGCATACTTTGCATATGTGCCTCGAGAAAGAAGTTGTGACCCAAGTCAGCAGCCTCGTTTCATATCTGCAGCATCTGAAGCATCTGAAGCGTCTGGATGCAAAAACGCTTTGCTTCGTTTCGGTCCCAGCGCCTCCACCACAGCAGAGTCGACAATGGTGAAGTGCCCAATGCCTGAGGAGCCGAGTTGACAAGTCTACTCGCCTATACCCTATACCTGCTCATCTAACTTTAACTATCTTTATATAACTACATCTAAATGTATTTCAAAATGTATCTACATAGGTGTATTTTACTTCACACATCAATTTGAAACAAGGCCCTCAGACAAAGCAGTATGTGAAACACAGACACGTAAGACGTCAGACCACTGGGCTCTGAGGGACACTCTCGAGGGGATTGCTGTGACAAGTTCACTCCAAAGAGGCAAGACGAAGCAACGATTCTGGAAATTTCTCTATAGAAGCAGCATGAAGCATCCGAAACTGGCCAGACTGTGACCTCACAATACCTTGGTAAAATGGATATGACCAATGTCACGCGAAAGAAGAAGGCCGCTGAACATGTGCAAAAAGATCAAGGAGTATGCTTTACACATGGTCCATACTGCCTGGAAGCACCAAGTTCTTCAATGTCTCTGATGCGATCGCTGAAGAGCCCAGCATGCAAACCTAGCAAATGGACAAAGGTCTGCAGTCACCACATATCTTAGATATCTTGGCACGACGCTGAATGACAAAGAATTGAAGATATTGAAACTGAATGGGCAAAATATGGCATAATGCCAGTCGTGCTCGTGGTGCAATGACTGCCACAATCCAAGGCTCCTGCCTTGGCATCCATCAAGGCTCTTTGCCCATGGGCACCTGCACCGGGGCAAACTGCACACGTGGCGTCACGACAATCAGGACTCCAAGATGCATCCAATCTGCATCAAATCAGGATGTCAATAATTTGTCAATGACATGTCAATGTGTCGTTCGTATTTTCACACCAGTTTCATGTTTGGACGCTCCCACCCCAAAGGCGAAGCTGGCGATCATACTTATCTGTGGTCGCCATGATGCGCCGAAGTCTTCTGATTTGTCTTTATGTGTCATCTTTGTGTGTCATTGTCCATGCCGATCGCACATCTGTACTGGCTTAGCGTTGTACCTTGAAGGATTCTTTTCATCTGTGACTTTGAATGACTCATTCATTCATGTCACATCTCTCAACTAAGCCACTAAGCATCCTTTGTTCATTCTTAACCTGCTCATAGACTCAGTATAGATGGCGTTTTGTAGTCTACCTTCCGTGTACTTTAGAACTGAGCCAGAATTCAGCAAAATTTAAAGGTGATGTCTGCAAACATTTGCACTCTCGGCATTTGCACAATTAACAGTTCCTTTGCAAACATGGCTTGTCGAGGGGCTGAATCAAACAACTGCCTCCATTCGGAACCCGCTGCCATGCAAGTTTGCATGTAGAACCTGCATCTCTGGTCAAATCGGCAACATTGATGAAGTCTTCCTCACATGAAGCCTGAATCCAACTCTCCTTCATATTTTTCAAGGGAAAGTACCGAGATGGACAAATGGTTTGCAGATCCTTCCGGCAATAGGTTTAAGTCAGGATTGACCCTCTTAAACCTTGGGAAGGTCTTCCATTCCTCCTTGCACATATCATTCAGTACCTTACAAAAGCTCATCCACAAAGGGGGAGTCCTTCTGCTGCTCTTCTGTCAGCTTGTTAACAACCTTTCTGTACCTTCCAACTCAATTGCTGTGTCTATTGCAAACCTCTCTGAAATAGTGCAAAATATTCTGCTAAAATCTGAGAGGCAGAAGTCTATGCTGTACTGAAAACTCCGTCGCACCCGTGGAAGAAGTCTAGGATATCCATCTTGCACGCCACCCGAATTCTTTGCTTCTCCAGTTCCTATGAGCGAGGCCCAACATTCGAAGTGGGTGCTCTGGTGATTCCCTGACGTCTTGAAAGCCTCAACATACCCGACACAACATGACACAACCATGCACACACGCCTCCTCGGACAGCTCCTCAAGTTCATCCGAGCTAATGAATCTAATGATATCAAATCCAACTGTTGTTTTTGGCAAACATCATGCAGACAAATGTAGGGACGACGTCTTGGGCACCCACAGGGGCGGAGGCATGTCTTGCCATCTTGGCCTTGCTGTGACAGAAGTTGAGGCACTGGTAAAAGCACGGCAAGAGCGCTATGAAGCAAGGGCAAGCAAACCGAAGCAAGCTCGATCGCTTGAACTACTCACTTGTAGTCCTGCTTTAAATCCAGAACACGGCTGGGCAATGGAGACGTACACGGTTCAGGTGCTCCCTTAATGAGTGGTTTCTCAGTTGCGAAGCTGTTGAAAAACGTTGTGATTTGTGAGAGGCTCACCCAACACTGGCGGAACAAACAAAACACCTAAAAAACAAAAAGAGCAAACCAGCAAAGTGTAGCAAGACTTCTCCGGAGGGGTAGGGCAAGTCCGCCCGCACCGAAGGTGCCGAGGCTTTTTCTGTGTGCACGCATTAACCGGAAGCAATTGCAATAGCTATTAATAATATTAAGTGGGGGAGGCCTTTATTGCACTAGAATCCTTTTGTCCACGTGTGTTTAAAGGACCTAAAATCCGCTAAATTGCCAAACTTGGGCTCAACATAGGCCCGGCATGGGCCCAACAACATAGGCTCAACACGAGCCCAACATATGCCTCAACACAGGCCCATTCAATATGGGCCTAACATGGGCGCAGCATAGGCACAACATGTCCAATATAGAGCCAATATGGGACCAACATACTCACAACATGAGCCCTACCATGGCCCAACATAGAATATCATACTATTTTATTGGAACTCCGGAGCTAACACTCCGGTGCAGGCGGTTGTAGTCGCCAAGCGACAAATACACAGGTTCAGTGTTTGGTAAAAACACCCAAACTCCAGAGATCACAATGACTATAATGATTCAAAGTGGCAAATGGATGCAAATGGTCACAAGGGTTTGATTGGATTTGGGTCTTGCAAAATGAATCTACAGTAAGATTCGCACAAAGTACCAGCAAGCAGTCTTGCAACGTCACAAGGGGGGTCTGCCGATGAAGGCTGTGTTTTTTTAGGCTCTAGCATTTTCGAATTTGAATTCACTGTTTGCGGGTCTGCCTCTTCCTGAATTCTACTGTTCATATTACAGTCCTAGCCCGACATGACCCAGCTTGGTCTAGGTAGTAGTAATAGTATAGCAAAGTGCAGAAATGACTGATGAGCCGAGCTTTCAAGCTCGGACTTGGTTTCTGAGCCCAGCAACAACACTCTTGACAATAGTGCTTTAGTGTGAGCAGTCCTTTTTGTGCAGCATCTTCAAAGCACCGCTGTTTGCCCCAACATGCACTGCAAGGCACGGTTTCTGAGAGCAAGACCATCCTTCAATAAATGCACTCAAATCTTGCACCCTTGAATCATGTGTGATACGGTACCCCCAAGACCCACCCTTTAGAAAGTGTTCAAACATGTCCGGCTTTAAATAATTTTGTTGCCATCCCACCCTTCCCTAAGTACATCGGATTCAAGATTCCAGATATTCAAGATCCAGAAAAAAAACTTCTTGAATCCAAGGGGCTGGATTCAAGATTCAAAATTCAAGATTCAAAGTCTAGAAAACTTCTTGAATCTAATGGGGTAAATTCTAAATTGGGCTGGTAAGCAAAGCAGGTATGCAGATTAAATCAGACACCACGTCTACTCAGCCTCATGGACATGATCCAGGTGCGCATTTTTTGTTGGTGTTCTCATGGTTTGAGCACCCTCCCAGAAAGTTACTTGAAACCATGGTGCCATGGGAGGAAATACAAGACAGCCAAAACTGGAAAAAATAGTACTAAGTAACAAGTTTCAGCATGGACCTGGAAGTTTGTTGTCAAAGCAACATCCTCCAGCCTCCAATATAGGCCTTGTGCAGCAGTATTTTTCAACAAGCATGACATTCCTTGCGTAGAGCCGCATTATTCCTTGCATAAGGTGACATCATTCTGTTCAGTCACCTTACATATGTAAAGGAGTGCAGCATTCTTTGAAAGGAATATAGAGTTAGTTTCGATGAGACCTACAGCTGTGCAAAGTCATAAAGGAGTGCAGCATGTCTTTGAAATGAATATAAAACTATGTTCTACGAGACTTACAGCTGTGCAAATTTCTCTTAAAGAGGTAAAAGAATGTATGGAAGGAGGACAATTTTACGACAGAATGGATTTTTGTTAGTAACCATTTTTACCGATGTTGGTATGCGTTAAAGAAAGTGTTGGTGCAAGTATGTGCAAAGCCTCCTTCACAAGGGAGTGAAGCATTTGATTGAAAAATACCTGCAATAATGCAAAGAAACATTACTATGAAGTAGAACCCTTGGGTGTATGATATATGCAGTATCTATTGAAAAATACAGGTCATGGTTGTACGTATGCAATATGCCCTTCTATATGAGTGAAACATCTGAACAACATAGGCAACATTATTTTGAAGAAGTAAAGTCTATCCTTTAAAAACAAATGTCAGGCAGAAAAAATGAGAGGGAGGATGAATTTCATTTCTACAAGAATACTGTTTCTTGTGTAAGGTTTAAGGGAATGCCTTGTCTTCAAGGCAATTATTTTGAAGAAGTTAAGTCTTCCTTAAAAATGGTCATACAAGAAAAATTAGAGGAAGGATCTCCATCTTT